ATGGGAATTGCTGTGGTTTGGTTTTCTTTTTTCATCTGCAAAACTGGGAAGATACTTTCTTGCCTCCTTCCAGGTGCTTTTGAAGATTAAATGAAATCGGGAAAATGAAAATACAAAACATACCGTAATAGGACCTTCGTAGCAAAGAAACGATTGAAATGTGTGTATCGGGGACCTGCTGCTCTGAGTAGGAGCCGTCAAGTATGTAAGCCCACCCAAAAGAAACACCTGAAGAAAAGGATGGCCATTATTGATTTCTTTTTAAATATACTTATATTGATTTTAGAAAGGGAGAGGGGAGAGAGAGAGAGAAACATCAATGATGAGAGCGAATCATTGATAGGCTGCTTCCTGCACACTCCCTACTGGGGATCAAGTCCACAACCCGGGCCTATGCTCTTGACTGGAATCTGTTCGCAGACCCTTCAGTCTGCAGGCCAATGCTCTATCCACTGAGCAAAATCAGCTAGGGCTGCAGATATTTTTTTTAATAGAACCCGGTACCACATTGGAAACCAACTATCTTATCTGAGTCTTAATCAAAGAAGGAACAATTCTTTCCAGTGAAAAAGAAAAATGAGCTATTCAGGAATTACTAGAGAGTGATTATATATTCATCTCCATGGTGGAAACTTTCCAGGGGATTTTAAAGGGTAACTATAATTTGTCTGATTGTCTTTTGTTGCTAGCATTAATATCTCCCTAAGAATTCAAAATGCATAGCACTCTGACCCTCGCTAGCATAGGGATAAACAGCTCTTCCTAACCTCATTGTACTGCATTCTAGCACAGTAATCAGTCTTTGATGAACTGGGTCATCAAGAAATTATTAGATGTGTGTTCTTGAATGCTCTGACAAAGAGGACAAAGTAAATGAAAATGTTTGGAAAGATCGCATTTTAAAACCTAGAATTTTTAAACAATTTTTTTTTTTTTTTTAGGAAACTTACAGGCATAACCACTCAGCCAGTTTAGAAAACTCATTCATTCAAAACAGAGCTAGTCATGGTACTCCAATATAGGATCATTGTCTTCCCATTCGAATATAAAGGTGGTTTAATCCTTTCAGCACTTGGACTCAATACTACCAAAGTAAGCTTTACAGGTGGGAAGAGTGAGTCGCCTAAATAATTGCCCTTTTATGACTTTTGCTTATTGTACTAAATTGGTTATCTTTCCTATTGATTTGCTGAAGCTCTTTACAAAGCTCCATAAGGATGTTAAGACTATTAGCCTTTGCTTCTGAGTTGTAAATGAATTTCCACAGTTTACCCTTTGTTTTATGGTTATGTTTGTTTGTTTTTGTTTTGTTTGTTTGTTTGTGTGTTGTTGTTGTTGTTGTTTAGCCAAACGGAGGTATTAAATTTTAGTACAATCAAATGTGTCATATTTTTCTTTTATGACTCCCCCTGAGTTGTTGTCATGGAGAGAAAACCTTTTTCCAATCCAAGACCATTAAAAATCCCTCTATACTTTTTTCTATCCCTTCTGTGGTTCCCGTTTCACATTTAAGTCATTAACCCAACCTTAGCTTATGTTTGTGCATTATGCAAGGCAAGCAAATTTCCTATAAAACATATTTTTTGACAATATAATTCCTGGCCTCTTAATGCATGTAAATAAAGGCATAGATTTTTACACTATTCCTAGGTAAAATAAATCCAATAGATATTTCATGTTACTCTAAATTGTCAAACATTCTTATCTGTTGAAATGAGGAAATATTTTGGTGCAAAGAGAAGGAAAGAAAACTAACACAGAATGCCTACAATGGGCTAAGCCCTGTCCTGGTTGCACTAGATGTGCCATTTCACTTAATTCTCATGAGGCTGAGACTTAGAGAGGATAATGACTTAGCCCGTAGTCACATAGCTGAAGTGGAGCAATAATTCAACCCAGTTTGTTCTAACTTCAAAATGTATATTCTTTCTGTTGAAGGACATAGAAATCTTACCACATGTCTAAGGGATACATGATTATATTATTTAGGGGTTAATGTTATTTTTTTCCGCAAATGCTAATGCTTTGAACAACAATTATCATTATGTTGCATCTACGGATAGAAACTAAGGAAAAGTGGTAATATAAATGGACCTTTAGACCTAGGTAAGATGAGGGCTGGAAAATGTATTATCTCCTCCCCCCCCAATTCTGCTTTCTAAATTTCTAGACTAGAATTTAGTAAAGAGATGACATGATAATCCACAAAAGTTCTAGAATTTTGTATTTTCTAGGTATAACTCTCAGCCTGCTACACTCATCTAGGATGATTAAGAACCTAGAAATAAATGGCAGAGAATAAAGTCAATTCCATTCATTGCTTTCATGTAGAGCCCAACAGAATTATTTATATTAATGTTATGCACAGTTTCCTATTATTGCCATATCCATACTAAAACTTATAGCACCATAGTGCATTAAAAACATCAGCACATACATCATCACAACTGATTTCCACAATCACTACATGCGAAGAAAGCAGCATAGGCATTATTTCCCCTGTTACTACAAGGTGACACAGTTGCACTACTTACCTAGGTCCTAAGGCAGGGAAATGAATGAATGAATGAATGAATGAGCAGGGGCTACAACTCAGCTCTTGGCATTCCTAATTCAGTTTTTCCCACCAGGCTGTTCTCCTTTAAAAAAAGAAAGGAAAAACCTGCCTTTAATTTTAAAATGCAATGAAAGCCTAATAAAATTGAGTTTTAAAAATGATTTAGTTTATTAACATCTGCTCTGAGACCTACCCGGTTGTAAAAAGAGATGTTGTAATCTCTGCCCCTAGAGCTATTTGAGAAGTTAATAGGACAAGTATCTGTCCTTGAGGATTGAAAAAAACAACAGGTAGAACAGAAAGTCTGCTGGATTCAATTCTAAGCCTGTAATTAATGTTTCTAAAGGATTTACAACCACTGTCTTATCTTCTTGGAAAGGTTCAATTTCCTAAACATTGAGTACGCCTTCTCTGTGCAGAGCATTCTGAGGGGTACTAAATACAGTGCTAAGTAAGCTACTTATAAAAACCAATATTTACTATGGCTATCTCCAAACTGTGAGATGAAGCGAGATTTTTTTCATATCTCAATTTCCAAATTCTATGTAATTAGCATGAATTTGTTTTGGAATGGTAAGTAAAAAATAGAATGCATGGAAAAGGCTATAGTACAGTTTTGTTTTCTTTTATACTAGAATCGGCCTCCCATGTTAAATTTGTTTGAAAACTCTATGCTACCATGCTGAAAGATAGGGGAAGCCAACATTGATTAAGTAATTACTATATTCAGGCCTTTTATTTGTGTTTAGAAATATTAATCTTATTTACTTCTCAGCACAGCTTCTCAAAGAAAATAGTATTATTCTCATTTTATAGAATTGAAAACTGAATCTTAAGGTGAGGCTATACAACTTTCCTATGGCCACATAAGGTGTCAGACCCCAAGTACAGTATTTTTTTCACATTGACATAATACCTTTTTGTTTAAATCCTGCAGACAATAGGTTTGTCCCTTGCTGAGAATACCAGTCTGATTTATCACTAAAATAGAAAAAAATTATGTGAAGTCCCCAATAGTTCCATATTTATTTTTATTTGTAGTTCCCTAATATACCAAATCTCAATTCCTGTTGGATTAGCCCCAGTCCCAATAAACTACTGCATCAAATCCATTATATCCAATCAACTGTTTTGCTTGTTGACCAAGTTTTTCCATTGTATAAAATGGAAAAAGTTGTCAACTGGTTGTTTTAAGCTAATGTAATCCAAGCAATTTCCTCAACTGCTTCATAATTGATATTGACTATTTAATACCATCTTGATATTTTAATTTGAACATTTCAGATTAGAAACAAAACATTGAGTAAACAGAAATGACTCAAGTTGAACTTAGAGAACTTCCCTCAATAAAGGAAAAATTCTAGAATTACAAATTAGCAAAAGGAAACTGTCTTTTAAAGATCAGGATTTAGTCAGGAAAGGTCAAATTGAATAAATATTGATCATCAAGATGCTAAGGATTCCAATATATACAGAAAGACTAATGTTTACAGAAAAAAAGTGAGTAGATATTTATTAGAAATAAGATGAATTCTAGACATTAGGAAATCATATTCTTCTTGGAAAGGCTTAGTGACTGGAATTAGGAAAAAGAAGGACTTCTCAGGTACCAGTGATCTCAGTATTGGTTACATGATGACACTCAGTTTGTGTATTTACTGTTTGTCTGTTATAAATATGCCTAAGAAATGACAAACAGTGAGGACTAAAAACACCCTGAATAGTTTTCAAATGATGATTTTTGCATCTTTGTACTATAGATTTTTTTGTTAAATAACAATGGTCATGAGAAGAGTTTAGGTGGAGTAGATATACTTTTGCAAAAGAAAAAGACAGAAGGAAATTTCTTAAAATCACTTCACTAAAGGAAAAAAAAAAAAAAGACAAAGTCCTCCTAGTCCTTGTAGTCCATAAGTATTTGACTTGGGATAAGAAAGAGCAATCTAAAATCCTCATTCACAACAGGCTCCTGGTTAATTCTCCTTTCTTCTCCACACATACACAAACACACACACGCACTCCAAACCATGTAAACCATCTCTGAAAATAAGTCTTTGTTCTATAGAGAGTCACTATTGAGGACTCATACACTTAAATTTCTAATGGTAGGATAATTTCAGTAGCATCATAGTTGAGAAACCAAAAATGGGTTGTGGGATTATTGCTGATTCACAAAATCTTTATTGACTATATGAATCCCCTATTCTATTTAATGTCTATTAGAAATAATTTTAAAATTGCACATTTAACTTTAACAGAAGCTAATAGTTCTCAAACTTTTAGGATTAATCAGGTTCATCTGAAACATTTGTTAGAAACATATAATTTTAAACCTTATTTTAGAAACTCTGATTCAGTAGATTTGCAGGGACAGCCCCAGGAATCTATGCATTCCACCAGCATGCCAGGTAAGTCTGAAACAGATAGTTAGCACACCACACCTTGGGAAACAGAGCCACTATGAGAACCTCAACTATTCACAAGTTCCAGCCAAACTCGGCATGAGATTCTAAGAGATCATAATCCACAGACCTGAATAACCAGATGGTTTTCATCCTGGAAATCTAACAATCAATGAATTAATGCCATGCTAGAGGAAAGCAAAGGGAAAAAGCATCGCAGAACAGGTGACTTCACCACATTCTCTTAGTGAGTTCTCACAGTTGTGCCCTGGCTAAAGTTTTATACATTTATAAACCTTGTTCCAGGACTTTTGTAGACCTTCATCAAGTGAGACACAAAGCCTGATGTGAGGACAAAGGGTAGAATTCAGTAAACTTTTATGACACCCTGACCCATGGTTGGCTAAGACCTAGCAAAGACTTTGACTAACTAGAGGCAAACCTTCTATTCTGAGACAAGCACCATTCATCAAAATTGTGACTCAACCTGTCACAATAAGTATACAAATATTACATCTGGACTGTCATGGGTTGTCAATCACAGGATGACTTACTAATTTTTCTGAAACCCAGAGCCCATCATGCCAGAAGCAGCAACCACCTTGTTTACCCCTCTTTCTTGGGCAATCTTTCTCTGCATTATCATTTTGATCATTAATGTGCTTGGGTTGACAGGAGCCAAAGAAAATTCAAATGTAACCCAGAAACAACAGAAATGTGTCATCCTGGAACATTCATGTGATCTGTTCAACCTAGGCACCTGCTTCCATGATGACTAATGCCAGATGTTTCAAGGAAAGATACAGCCTCGATTACACATCTGCTTCATGCAATTGTGCAATGATACATCACAAGGGAGTTTTCTTTTTCTGACCCTGAGTTAGCCATCAGTTGTAGCCTAATATTTCAAGACATCATCCCTTGAACTCATTACCACTTCATCCTCTCCTGAACTTTGTTCTTAAAAAAAACCATAAAGAAATTAATATTTGTCCAATATGTTCCCTCATCAACTCTTGACCAAAGCAATTATACTCATAGAAAACCATTTCTGGTTTCCATTAAGAAGATGGCTGGATATCTGATATAAAGGTAATGTATGTTGGTTACAGTAGGTAAATGAGAACTAGCTAACATCTGCAAATAGCTTGGAAACAAAAATCACTACACTGGTGTTGCTAAAAGTTGGTATTAGGAGTCTTTCAGAATCTGTATAGCTAACTGAACATAAAACTACAAAATACTAGTAGTAATTATAAGGATTATAAATACTAACAAGTTCTCTTTAATTATATACTCCTGAAAAAAATTCCATAAGCAAGAACATAACTATGTTTACTCAATGGTTCAACAGAAATTTATAGAGTATCTTCCCTGTGACATTCACTGTATTAAATATTAGGGAAATAGTCATGTATTTTACCCTTACCTAGTCCAAGAGGGGAAATGGACAATGGTTAGGATATCCATAATAATAAAAGGGTAATATGCTAATTAGACCAGACATCATTCTGGACATTCTTCTGGATGAAGCTGGAGCCAGAGCAAAGCCGGAGTCCCAGGTGTCCACTGGCGGTCGGAGGGAAGCAGCCCGGGTCCTAGGTGCCTGTGGCTGCCAGAGGAGGGAAGCTCAGGTCCCGGGTGCCAGAGGGAAGCTAGTGCCGGCAGCCAGGGGAAGAAAGGCCTACTCTTGCATGAATTTTTGTGCATCAGGCTTCTAGTAAATAGATAATATAACAACTAATTGAAATATAAGTTCTGAAGGAAATCAGCATGGTTATGATAGAGAACAACTAGAGGAATCTTGGTGAATTTTATCCAAGAAGTGACATTTAAAAAGACAAAGATTAAGACAACTAAGATCATGCCCAGAGCAAAAGGGGAGTGTTCTGAGTAGAGGAAATAATGAGGCAAGTCTTGTTGGTGTGTTTTAGGAACTGAAAGGAAGTCAGGTGCCTGGGAATGGGTAGGAAACAGATCTTGGAGGACTTCATATATTATTGTAGAGAGTTTGGGTTTTATTTTGAGATGGGAAGCCATACAAGCATTTACAGTGGAGAAATGATATGAACATACATTTTTAAAAATCACATTGAATGTAAAGCGGAGAATGTAATGAAGGAGGCAAAGGAGGTCTGCCATCACAGAGATCCTCTAACTTTAAAGTGTACACAAATATCTGGAGATCTTTCATCGTCCCTGATGCCACTTCAAACTGTCTTCCAAAGGGGTGTGAGCGCTCGCACAGCTGCACAATGCAAGGCGACTCGTGAAAGGCTTACCGAGAGCAAACAGCCCCGACTGAGAGTGAGCCCTGCTTTTGTCTTTCCAGTTCAGGGAGAGGGATTGACTGTAGGAGTCAAACATGAGCTGTAAAGACCCTCCGTTTAGTTCCGGACGAGACAGGAGCGTGGTCTGTGAGATCCTTCCACGCAGGGGCGGCGGCGCTGGGACCGCGGAAATGCAGCTTCTAATTCTCCAAGTCCAGGGTGGGCAGTGATTTTACATTTCTAACAAGCTCCCTGATGATGCCAACACTATTGGCCCATGCACCATGCTCTGGAAGCAAAATAAGTAATACTCTCATAGTCCAGACTTTTGTCTGTTTGAAGTTGGTGGCTTGAGCTAGAATAAAAAATGTGGTAATAAAGAAAATTCAGATTTGAAATATATCTGGAAGTTACAATGAATAGGTTCTCTACAGTGTGTCTCTTAACATTTACAGCAGAGGGTTTATGAAGACCTCTGAAACCACCATTTCTAAAAGACAAGGGAATTCTGAAGTTCATATCTCAACACTGGGTATGGATGAAGATAACAGTTGAGGAATTAAATGTAGAGGTGGACACTTTCAATGAGAATGCCAGACTTTAGCCTGGGAGTTGGGGAGAGGGTTGAAGGTGGTAGTGGGTGGAACAGAAATGTGGCCTGTTTGTCTGACAGCCAGGGTATTACCAGCAGTGTGTTGGTAAGAATAGATGACTATACAGATGCACAGGGAAGTACCTTGAACCACAAAGTCAAAAGCTTCAAGTCTTAGTTCTGCCACATTCTGTCTCTTTGGAAAAACAACAACAACACCCACTAGTCTCTTTTACCTGTTTCCCTCATTTAATAAAATATGATGTAATGAGATCATGCAGATGAAAACATTTAGCATGGTGCCTATTATAAGAAGGTATTAATAAAGATCAATGGAACTACACTTATGCATCTTAACAGGGGACCATTTTCTGCTTCTTCTGAAGATATAAAAAAAACAAAAACATTTATATAGCCACAGAAGGGAGTGATTTCATATCATGGAGTGTGTCCCTGTGAAACCCATATTATTTCTGCATTGCTAAAGATGTTTCCTGACAATAAAGTTGGAAATTCTTTTCTTACTTAGAGACAATAAAATCACCTTTAAATTCAAAATAGCCCAAGCTTCTGCAAATGCCACAAAGGTTACTTTCAATTAAATATAATAGTAGGTTAATACTGAACTTAAAGAGTTTATTCAGTCCCTTAGCCATACCTGAAAAGATCGCTAAAAGGTAGAAGACTATTATCAAAACTCGGGAAAACATAGAGCTTGGCAAAACCAAGGAAGTCTTTCTCACCCCAATAGTTGTCACGATTTTTTCCTGATGATTTGATGTAAGTCTTCTACTGTTTGCTTGTTTGTTATATTATTTGTACCAAGAAAGAGCTTCCCTTTAAAGTCATTCCTCTTTCCCACACTTGCAGAAGAAATGGAAAATATGTGATCATACTTTATAACCCAGGTCTGATGTGAAGTAAGGCTAACTTCAGTGATGTGTCTTTTGTAATTAACATAAAATATTTGCATACAAGCAAAGTTCCAGAAGTCCCCAAAAGTTGTTTGATCTCTAAGTGAGTAAATGACTCCTGTAACTGTATTCTGCATCATTAATTCATAGTGATTACAGACTTCCCAGTGACACAAAGGCATTCTCAACCTTTCAGATTATAAACTCAAAACAATGAGCTTCTTTACTCTATAACCTTAAAAGTTATGGGCTTTATAGCTTTCTCACAAAAGGAAAGAATTTATAGAGTATATCTCGTATAGCCCTGTGAGTTTGTTTACTCACTGAATCTTATGCCTGAAGTGAACAACCAGCACCTCCCCCAAGCCTACTGTATCTACTCCAGGCAAAGCTTATGTAGTCTTTCTCTTTCTCTCTCTCTCTCTCTCTCTCTCTCTCTCTCTCTCTCTCTCTCTCTCTCTGCCCCCTCCCTCTCTCTATATCTCTCTCTCTCTCTCTCTCTCTCTCTTTCTCTCTGCCCCATCCCTATCTCTATATCTCTATCTCCCCCTCTCTCTCTTTCTTGCCCACCCTCCCTCTACCTGCTATAACAATACTCAAATCCAAGAAGAAGGACTCTAACTTTTCCCTTGGCATCTAATCTGGCAGAAAAGAAACAATAATTTTGGTCATTATCATTGTGCACACACTGTTAGGCAACATTTAGGGTCATGCCCAAAATGTCACATGCAACTCTAGCCCTCTATAAGAATGTCTCACATAAAATTTCTAAGTCAATTTCTCAACTACACAGAATCCCTCAAACTCAAGGGAAATGTCAAGGTATTCCCAACCCCTGAAAAACAGCCATTGTCCTCTTCCATTCACATTCAGGACATACCATGAGGGAAATGAATATTCCAACCACACAGATTATTTGAACCCTGCAAACTAGCCATTCCCTCTACTTGGTGTCATGATAAATAATGCCAAGTGTTTGGGTATCAAAGATGAAAAATCAAATCCTTCCAAGGACTTAACAGTTAGGTGCTTATCTCTTACCTGTACTCCTTCAATGGCCTTGCTCAGACTCTCCCTGCTTCAAATCCAAACCAATTAAATCTATACTACACACTGACCCCAGAGAAAGATATCCAAGGTGCACATTTGATCACGGCACTTGGGCAATGGGAGAGTTTGAATTTAATATATCAGACCTATTGATATTCTTGTCTGACTCCCTCACTAAACTATAAAAC